TTTGTTCCATAGACACTGGGGTTACCATCCATATGGAATCCTCTGGTGGGTCAGTCCAGTGAACTTGCTGTGGTGTAATCGCCTACAACAAACACCCATGTGTTGCACCAGGTTGTCACCAAACAACCTTGACAAGTGAGATCAGTCACTGCCTTTCGACAGGGTCGTTCAACACTATGATAGCCTTACCGTATTATCTGTGCCCTTAGTTCAGAATAATACTGGGGCTACGGACGTTTCTAGAATGGCCACCATATGTGCTCATAGGGTTCTCACTATCAAGATTTGAAACACTTGATACCCTCGTCACGGTTTTACCATTCTAAGGACATATATCAATACATATTGCAATAATAATGATTTACGCGATATAGAATAAAATGCCTTTTATTGATTAATGAACATTATTACAAAGAGGCAATTCTACAATAATTGATTGGCTCTAGGGCATCTACTCTAACAGATTGGCTTCATTTTGGACTTGGTCCGATGGATGTAGACATTTTGCCGAACCATGTAAAAACCCTTAGTATTCTTTATTTCGATTCATGTTTGATTGTTTTATAATGGTGATGAATGAACACTAAATCAACTTAGCAACCAATTCCATTTAGGTTTAATACACTTGGTAAAGTATTAAAACTTTCAATTGGTATCAAAGTCTGTTATGGAAAGTTATTTCATTTTATCCTTGCTTGTTGATTGTGTTTTTATCGCACTTTTATTTCTGTTTACGTTCTGGTTATTTTTTCATGATTTCTCTACATTTTTGTTCTTTCTAGACTTGTGACCACCTTGAAGATGTGTGACCACACTGGTGTTGAACTTTCTGACTATGATCACCTTGTCCTTGTGTGACCACACTAACTATTTGTTTATCATGAGTTTTTTCAATGAATGAGGGTCTACCAATAGACCACCCTTGTTAGAGGGAACCAACTATTCATTTTGGAGACCTAGGATATGTGCCTTTTTGAAATCCATAGATGAGAGGGCTTGGAATGCTTGTACGATCGGTTGGAAAGAACCTAAAACTGATGAAGCAAGTGGGAGTAAAGGAAAATCCAAGGCTAAGTTAGAAGAGTCTAATTTTAACTTGAAAGCAAAAGCCCTTCATGCTATTTTTAATGTTGTTAGTATAGTCAAATGAAAAATATTGTTAACTGTGAAATGGCTAAGGATGCATGGGATAGCCTCCAAGTTAAAAATGAATGAACCGATCTTGTGAAAAAGACTAGGCTTAGAAGATTAATCATGGACTATGAAAAACTTGTTATGCATGATAATGAAACCATTACTGATTTTCATCGCAAATTGTGTGATATAACTAATAAGTGTTTTGCTTTAGGCAAAATCTTTTCTGATGCTAAACTTGTTAGGAATGTGTTGTGCTCCTTGCCTCAAAGATTCATGTCCAAAGCAACCTCCATTGAAGAATGTCATAACCTTGATGAGATGCAACTGGATGAATTGATTGGATCTCAGCAAACCTTTGAGCTTAGCCTGAAACGATGGAAAAAGAAATCAGGTAAAGGGCTTGCATTGAAACATGAGGTATTCTGATTCTTTGGTTATTTGTGATATTAGTGATAATAAAGATGATGAGTTTGCTCTAATCACTAAAAACTTTTCAAAATTCATGAAAAAGAACATGAGAAAGCCAAATGTGGCTAAAAAGGGAAAACAACCCTTTGTTAAAAGATTTTCTAACCAATCTGGTCAAGGAGGGTTCTCTAAAAGATTTCTAAGAGAAAATGAAAAGAAAAGCAACTGGATTCTTTGATTGTGAAGTCTACGACCATATTCAATCTGAGTGTATAAACACTCTAAAGAAAAAAGGAAAAGTCATGGCTGCCATCTTGAGTGAGAGTGAGGGTGATGACACAAATGAGAATGAACATTTTTTGGCCCTTACAACTAACCAAGAGGACAATGATAGTATGTCCTTAGATGACTCAAGTGATGTCTACAAAGAGCAACACGAGGCTTATGACAAAATATATGAGGCTTGGTTAAAAACCATCAAGAGGATTAAATCTCTTGAATATAAAAAATCTTACTTAATAGAAGATAAGAAAATTTTGAATGATAAAATGAAAGCCTTGTTATCTGATTTGTCCAATAAGGAAATTTTGTTGAATCAAGATTTAAATGAACTAACTGAGGCCAAGGCCATTGTTGAAAGGTTAAATGCAGGTTCATATAAGCTTGATAAAGTTCTTGGACAAGGAAAGGTTTTCGGTGATAAATCGGGTTTGGGCTTCTCTTCTGGTGCTAGCAGCTCCAAATCTGGTGTGACATACCTTTGTCAAGGTGTCTGAGTCAATTCAGAATGCCCCACGTGATCAGACCTTGAAGGTAAAAAAATTCATTCCTATCTGTCATTTTTGCCAAAAGAAAGGTCATATCAGACCAAACTGTTTTAAACTCATTTTATATTTGAAAAGATGGCATTGAAAATCATGATTTTAATTCAGTAAGGTCATCATTTCAATCTCTCGAGTCATCACACCATAACATTTTTTTCAAAAATCACAAATTGTGGAAACCCAAGTTTAGTGCTAACTGTCTTGTTACCCATACTTCATTACTTGCTTTTGAAAATGACCTATGGTACTTTGACAGTGGCTATTCAAGACACATGAAAGGTAACAAAGCTTTATTGGCTAATCTTGAACTTGTAGAAGATGGCCATGTGACCTATGGTGATGGGAAAAATGGTAAGATTCTTGGAAAAGGTTCTATTGTCATTCTTGGCTTCCCAATGCTAAATGATGTGTTTTATGTTGAAAGTCTTAAGGAAAATCTTATTAGCATTAGTCCAATTTGTGACAAGGATTGTGTTGTGTCATTTCAAAGAATATTTGTCAAGTCTTGAATGCTAATGGTTCTTCCTTGCTTGAGGGAAATAGATCAAATGATAATTGCTATTTATTGTCTAACAAAGTTTCTTGTTTGAGCACTAAATCAGATTGTATTGGTCTATGGCATAAGAAACTTGGACATATGAACTTCAAAAATCTCGTGAAACTCTCTAAGAATGATGTTGTTAAGGGTCTGCCAAAGCTTGAGTTTCCCTACGATAAAGTATGTGGTCCTTGCCAACAGGGTAAGCAAACCAAGAGCTCTCACAAACCTCTATCTTGTTTGACTACCTCTTGTGTTTTAGAACTACTTCATAAGGATCTTATAGGCCTTCTGCAAATTGAAAGTTTAGGTGAAAAGAGATATGTCTATGTTTGTGTTGATGATTTTTCTAGATTTTCTTGGGTTAATTTTTTAAGAGAAAAATATGATGCATTTAAAGCTTTTCAATGTCTTGTGAAAAGATTGCAAGTGGAGCAAAACTGCCATGTAAAAAAGGTGATGAGGATAAGAAATGATCAAGGGAAGGAGTTTGAAAATTCTGATTTTTCTAACTTTTGTGAAATGCAGCTCATTTGGCATGAGTTTTTTGCCCCCAAGACACCACAACTGAATGGTGTAGTGGAGAGGAATAATAGAGTGCTTCAAGAGATGGCAAGAGTTATGTTAAATGCAAAGAAGTTGCCTACAAGACTTTGGGCCGAGGCAATAAACACTGCATGCCATATCTTTAACAGAATTTTCTTAAGGAAAGATACATCTCAAACACCATATGAGTTGTGGAAAGGTAAAAAACCAAATCTTTTGTATTTCCATGTCTTTGATGCAAGTACTATGTCTTAAATGATAGAGATCATCTAGGGAAATTTGATGCTAAGGGTGATGAAGGAGTCTTCCTTGGGTATTCTTCAAATAGTAGGACATATAAAGTTTTTAACATGAGAAAAGAACGTATCATTGAATCTTTCAATATGGTTTTCTCTGATTTAGAAGATTACTCAAAGTTCTCACAGGAAGATGAAATTGATGATATGATTGCTCCTGCTGAAGTGACCACAGATCGTGACGAAGTGCCCATTATGACTCCTTCTGGAAATAAATCTTAAGATGAAGTCCCACCCAAGAACCTGAAGTGAGCACCACTGTTGCTCAACATGGGTCTGTCTCCCAAAGACAAGGATTTGACTTAGTAGTTGATCTATCAGATGAAATCACTCTAAGAAGGACTCCCAAGACCAGAGAACCTCCCTCTTGGATCAAGAAGGCATATCCACCATCTTCTGTCATTGGAAATCCTGAAGAGGTAATGGTTACAAGGAGAAAAGATTTAATTTTGATTTAATGAAATTAACCATTTATGCTATGTTTCTCTTTTAGAACCAAAGAATGGAAAACAAGCTTTAGAGGATGATTGCTGGATTGTTGCCATGCATGAGGAGCTTGAACAATTCAAGAGGAACGATGTATGGAGCTTGGTTCCTCGGCTTGAAGGAATTAATGTCATAGGAACCAAGTGTATCTTTAAGAACAAGTCTGATGAATTTGGAAATATTGTTAGAAACAAGGCTAGGTTTGTTGCTCAAGGGTACACACAAGAAGAAGGGATTGATTTTGACGAGACCTTTGCTCCAGTGGCCAGATTAGAATTGATTAGATTGCTTTTGGGAGTTGCTTGTTGCTTAAAGTTAAAGCTTTATCAATTGGATGTGAAGAGTGCATTCTTGAATGGCTTGCTTATGGAAGAAGTTTATGTTGAGCAACCTGCTAGATTTCAGGATCCTTACAAGCCAGATCATCTGTTCAAACTGAAGAAATCACTATATGGACTAAAGTAGGCTCCAAAAGCATGGTATGAGAGGCTTACCTCATTCCTTCTTGATCACAATTTTGGAAGAGGTAATGCTGATAAGACTCTTTTTATTAAACATGGTAGTGGTGAGTTTCTTTGTGCTCAAATTTATGTTGATGACATAGTATTTGGTTCCACTTCTTACACTCAATTTCTAGAGTTTATTTCTTTAATGAAAGATGAGTTTGAAATGAGCATGGTAGGAGAATTAAACATGTTCTTAGGACTTCAAATTAAGCAATTTGATAGTGGTTTGTTTGTATCATAATCAAATTATGCAAAGAACATGCTTAAAAGATTCAACCTTGAAAATGCAAAATATGCTAAAACACCTATGAGCTCTACCCTTAAACTGTCTGAGGATGTAAATGGGAAAATGGTAGATAACAAAGTGTTTAAAAGCATGATAGGAAGCTTGTTGTATTTAACTGCAAGTAGGCTTGACTTATGTTTCAGTGTAGGTGTTTGTGCAATGTTTCAAGCTGATCCTACTGAACTTCATTTTACTGTTATGAAGAGAATCATGAAATATGTCTCAGGTACATATGACTTTGGATTGTGGTTTGCATATGGCACTAACCCTACCTTGGTTGGCTTTAGTGATGCAGATTGGACTGGAAGCTTGGATGACAAGAAGAGTACATCTGGAGGATGGTTTTACCTTGGAAACAAATTGGTGACTTGGTACAGCAAGAATAGAACTCCATTTCAATCTCAACTATAGAGGTAGAGTACATTGCTATAGGGAGCTGCTATACACAAGTTTTGTGGATTAAACAAATGTTAAGTGACTATCGTTTTGATAAAAAAATGTGTTACTATTTTATGTGATAATACAAGTGTAATTAACATATCTAAGAATCCAGTTCAACACTCTAGGAAAGCACATTGATATTAGGCATTATTTCATTAGAGAGTTGGTCGAAGATAGAGTGATCACCCTTGCAAATGTGAACACAAAGTCTCAACTTGTTAACTTATTTACAAAGGCTTTAGACTTTCAAACTTTTGTGAATTTAAGGAAGTCTGTTGGACTAACTCAACTTGAGTAGAGTCTTTCTTTTAATAATGTCATGAGAAAACTTTTCTTTCTCTTTAAGGTTGCAAGTGTATTTGATCTGTGTTGAGTCATAAAGAAGTGTTTCTCTTTTTGAAATATGTGTGGTGAGTGAAGTGTCCACCTTGTTTTTCACCTCAAAGAAGTATAGCGACTTTTTTTCATTTTTGAGTGCTATGTGCATATTTTTTGTCGCCTTGTGAAAAAGCTACCTTGTTTATAGTGTGAAAGCCATACTTGAGTAATTTTCTAGGATGTAGAGACCCCGACGTCCTTGGAAAATCTACCGTTTAGAGGACTAACTATTTGCAAGTGTGAAAGCTATACTTGGTTACCTCTTGAGTGTTATGCCCATTAATCCCTATTTATATGCAAAAGAATCCAAAATGTTGAGATTAAATTCAAAAAGAAAAAGAATTAACAAAAAGAAAAAGGGCATGAGAGAAAGGGGAGTTGCTTTTATTTCAAAATTGACCAATAAGTCATACCAGTGGCGGATCCAGCCACATGGCCCACCCTCAAATTTTTTTTTTTTAATATTAATATGTAAATTTATATATTTTGGCCCACCCTAATAAAAATATTAATGGACAAAAATAGTAATGTATAATAAATTTTTATTTTGGCCCACCCTAAAAGAAATTTCTGGATCCGCTACGAGTCATACTTACCCCTTGAGGACACTTCACACGAATATGATCGAGAATGTTTGCTTTTGTTGCTCATTTGTGACTTAAAGGAGTGATTGCTTTAAGTTGTGGAATGTTCTTTGGATGAGATACTCTTTATGCATTTCTTTCATAGGTTGAGAAATGAATTTTGTGTCTTCTAATCAAACCAAAATATGACTTGTCTCTTTAAATCGTATGAAAATTTTTGACTGATCTCATGACCATTTTGTACTTTTTTCTTTTTAAAAATTTTATGTGATTTTAGTCTACGTCCTTTGTGTCTATGTCACCACCTTGAGTATTCATGTGATAGCCTGTTTGCTTCACGGTGCCCACACGAGTCTTTACAGTCACCACACTCTAATATGTTGATTTGATTTGTGAAAAAGATCCTTGTATGCCCACACTGATTTTTGAGGCACCACCTAATGATTGAGATTGTTTGTTTTATTTCGTGTGTTGTGTGACCACTCCTAGAGCGAGGTTATCACCTTGAAATTAACTATTTTGAGTGATCACATTGCGTGACAGTGCGCTCACATGAAACTTAAGTGACGACTTCATTTAAAATTCCATATTTTTCTAGGGTGCACGTTTCAATTGTTGCGACATCTCATTGTCTCTCAGCTGAAACATTTTCGTGCCGCTCAAAGCCTTTTCTCTCAAATTTTTCTTTGAATTTCATCTTGAGTTTTTTAATCCTTGAGTGTTTGTCAATCATGGAGCATCAAGATTCCTCCATCGCCGACATCAAGAATGTGTCAAAATCAAAGAAAAGGGCGAGGGAGAGTCAGACCGATGAACAACCACACCCTTCACAATCCTCCTCTGACAAGACTCTGCCACCACCTGTCTCACCTACTATTGATCAGCATTCCTTTGATAAGCCGTTGATCAACAGAGTTAAGTGCAAGAAGAAGAAGAAATCTCATAAAAAATCCAAACATACAAAGAAAGCGCCAAAACCGAAGAAGAAAAAGGCCAAAATTGTTGCCTCTGAATCATTGGAGTTGGGTAAACGTCTTATCTTTAGCAATCCTTTTGCTGAATCAAAGTTTAATGACTTTATTGTTCATAGACCTATCTTGTGTGAATCCTATGTACAACTTGATGATTTTCCTGATATCAAGTCTATTGTGATTGATAGACAATGGGTAAAAACTGTTGAGAGTCCTCCTCTCCCTTATTAGGCCTTTGTCCAGGAATTTTATTCAAACTTTAGGACCGATATAAACAGGGTTAGTTTGAAAAGAAATCAAGTTTGTGTTAGAGGGCATTGGATTGATTTCACAGCTGAGGTGGTTAGGAAGTTTTTGAATCTACCCCTTATTGAGGAACCTGATGATTTAACCATTAGTCTTGAACACCTGGACCAGTTAGCCATGACCTCACTGGAGGGTCTGTTCTGAAATGGCCTAAGAGTGGCCACATTCCTTCCAATGTGTTGACCCAGTTCTATAACATTTTGTTTATGATCACCCTGACAAACTGGTCTCCATCGCTTCACAACTCCTCTATGAGTCTTGATAAAGCTCAGTTGATTTATGGAATTGCTAATTAGGAGAAAATTGATTTGGGGGCTTTGATTTACATTAGCATTAGGTCTGCTACTAAAGCCAAGGGGAAATCCTTAGCTTTACCTTTTGCTTCCCTGATCCATAGGATTGTAACTTCCTATAACCCTAAGAGGCAACCAACTGATTCTCGCCTGAAAATTAGATTCGTTACAACCAAGACCTTCAAGATTCCAACCTCAGCACCTGCTCAAGATGTGCCTTCATCCTCAAATGCTACCTTTGGCAAAGCTAACACTGGCCAATCCAGAATTTTTAATCTATTACAGGTTCTTGACAGCAAAATGGATGAGAAATTTTCTCAGCTTACTGAGCAAATGACTCACATTCACTTCACATTTCATGCACGAGTGGGTGTCTTAGAGGATATGGTGAAAAAGATCCAAGCTAAACTAACTTCATCATCGGCAACTGCTTCTTCATCAATTGTTCCAGTTCAATAGGAACCTCCAGTTGAAACTCAACAAGATACAATCGAAGCTGCTGGTTCTGATCAAGAAAAGGATGACCAAGTTGCTACTCTTACTTTAGAAAAGGATGACCAAGCTACTACTATTGCTCTAGAAGAGATAGATCATGTTGCTGCTTCTGATCAAGCAAAGACTGCCTAGGATGCTACTGCTACTACATTGGTTCATATCCATGACGCCAATATTGAGGGTGAACAACAACAAGATCCTTCCGACACATGAGCTGATGATGATGCTCTTGCACCAGCAGTGTCCACTTGAGTAAGAAGGTTGAAGACTCAGGCTGAAAGAACAAACTTCCCCCAAGAAGATCCTCAAGACACCAGAACTTATGAACAAAGAGGATGAGTAGTTTTACTATTTGCGTGTGCTGATGTGGTAGCTGAGGTGATGACTTTGGGCTGAATTGAGGTGGTGAACTGATGTGCTCACCTTGGTGTGAAGAGAGACAATTTTATTTTTTATTTTTGTTTTCTTTCATGTAGAACTTTTTATTATTGTTTTTGTTGGTTTAAACTTCTCTTGAACTTATTACTGATGCATTTCGTTTATGTGGTAAACAATTTTTATGATTAAGGTTTTGTTGCTCGTCGATTATGATGACTATTTTTCTAATGTGTTTTCTCTTTTGTTTGCAGTTGCTGCTATTTTTATTTTATGATAAAAACTGAAATTTTTTGCTAATCACTGGATTTCTAAAGTGTTTGGTTTATTTACTCAGGGGGAGTGCTCCTATTGAGAGGGGAGCTGTTCAGCTCTGTTTATGTTTATCCTAAAGCAATTTTTTTATATATGCCTTGCTTAAGATTTCAATTTTTTTTTTTTTCCCTAATTGCTTAGCTTCTCATTGAGATTGTTTCTTGTCTATATTAATTGATTGATGTTCTTTTGAGACAAATATTTTTTTTTTTTGGATTGTGTTTTGTTCATAAGTTTGACAAAGGGGAAGATTGAAAGTTATTTGTCAAATTATGAACTCAATGTGGAAACACTGATCTTTGAGGTCATGACATTGTCTTGCCTCTGCACAATCATTTATGTTTAAATTTCCAGTGTGACGACTTTCTGTCAAAGTGACCACTTTCAATTGAGTCTACTTTCTGTTATCTCGTGTGAGCACCTTAGAGTCTGAGTGGTCACATGCATCTGACATATATTTTGCATAACACGTATTGCATCTCAATATTCTCATGAACTGTTTTTATTCTCTTTATGAGATATTTTTTGTGGTCCATGACACTTTTCATTTATTCATGATGTGTGTTGGAAAGTTTGTTTACAATTGTTAGTGGTCCCAAGAGACTTGGAATAAACTTTTTCATAAAGGTGAAACCATAAAGTTTTCTTGTTAGCCACTTGTCCCCTTGCATTGGGCAGATATTTTCTATATAATCTCTTCTCCAATGCAATTTCATTTAAGCCTGATTATTTCCTTGAAAGCACTCTGAATATTTCTAAAGGTTTCTTTTGTTTTTTATCAGGTTTCTATGCTTAGGTAGGCTTATAAATACCTTCATCAAAATACTTTGACTTTTGTCCTTCCTTCTACGTTGGTTATGTAGTTGGTGCTTGAAGCTTGCAGAGCTGATTCAACTGGAGTGGATCTTCGGCGCTGTACCTTGAGAGGAGTTCAAGGTTGACCAAGTGGTTTCGTGAATGTGAAGCTTGATGTGATAGTTCGAAGTTCGACAAAAGGGTGGAGGTTGAAGCGTTACAAAACAAGGATTGTTTTTGCAACTAAGGCTTAATCTTTGGCTTTGTAATTGAATTGAAAAGTTTACCATAGTGGATTGGCTTCATTCTAGACTTGGTCCCATGGATGTAGGCGTTTTGCCGAACCATGTAAAAACCCCTAGTGTTCTTTATTTCGGTTCATGTTTGATTGTTTTATAATGGTAATGAATGAGCACTAAAATCAACTTAGCAACCCATTCCGCTTAGGTTTAATACAT